CGATGCCTTGGCATGAGAAATACCCCTGGGTGCATAGTCCCTTGGGGAAGCTGTGGCTCCTTAGTCTTCACCGACAAGGTTGTGTTGGTGTCTCGGGTATGCCTGGAGGCAGTAGCAAATGTGTTTCTTGCTCTGATGACCATGGGAGAGTTTGAGGTGTGGTGGTTGAGGCTGGTGGGGTGCATAACGAAAAGGTGGTTGTCTTAAAGGGAAGGAGGAGCAAAGATCAGGCATCAGGCAGAAACTCCGTTTCCCAAAGGGCTTGGGTGAGCAATGAGACCTGGTCTGCTACACAGGGAACCAGGGGCAGGAGCCAGGAAATTCTTCATTAAAGGAGTTACAGCATTTGTGTAATTTGGGGATTAAAGTCCCTGTGTCAACCTTGACTTCTGCACGTGATGACCTCCTGGTACCTTCAGCAAAAGGCAAAGAAAAACCTACAGGAAGGGAGAGCGGACCAAGGTGATGAACCACTGCCTACAGAGGGATACGAAGAACAAATGATGCCCTAAAGGGTTGGGAAAAGGGGCTGCTCAGTCAAGACAACTATATCTTGGTGTCAGAGAAGTTGGAAAGTGTTATGGGGGCCACCAAAAGTCACGTTGACAACAGACCTCGCGAAGGGTACTCAAAGGGGCAGTGAGCAGTTCCCCACGTCTGCAGATGGAAGCAAAGCACTGTGAAGCGATGGCTGGGGAGATTTGGGCACAGATGGATATTTCACCCTGACTTTTGGCTAACACAAAGACAAAGGCAACAAAAGGCTGGATAGTGGGAATGAGGACACGGCCACGAGCGCAGCCGATGTGGAAGCCAAGCGCTGAGACCATCACACCCATCAGCCCGGCGCTCGGGATGGCTTCCCCCCCACTCCGTGCTTGGAGGGAGCTGGCACATGAAATGGCAGGTCTGGTAACAAGTATTTTTAACAACTCCATCGAGTTGGGGGAGGCACCATCTGACTGGAGAATAGCGAATGCGGTGCCTATATTTAAAAGCGGGGGGAGGAGGGGGAAAAAAAGTAAGGCAGGCAGGAATAGGACTGTAAGCCTGACCTCGATCGCATGCCATTTCAGAACAGATTTGGAAGGTAAAAGAGGAAAATGAATCATGGGTTTGCCAAAGGTAGGTCACTCCAGGCTAACCTGGCATCGGAGACCTGGAAATGTGTAGAGCTGCTCTTTGTAGTAAAGCTTTTGCTATGGGAAAGTGTTAATAAAGTGGAGAAGAGGGAAAGGAAGAGAGGAGCTCTGCGAGGCTGGCAGGGAAGCGAGCAGCATCGCGATGGCGCTGGGTGGTGTTGAGGGGACGTAGTGGCTGGCGGCGACCGGCGGGGCTCCTCGGGAATGAGTCACGGGCTTCCCTGCTTCCAGTGTCGGCTGGCTTCCCGGAATTAGGGGGACGGAGGCTGCCACCCCGGGCTGGAGGTGTCCGAGGGCTGGAGGAAGAGATGTGGGATGCAGTGAGAAATGGAGAGCCATGTGCTTGTTGAGGAACAGCCAAGAGATCTCCTGGGAGCACAGGTCGTGCTGATTGAGAAGTAGCAGTGTGGAGGAGGAGGGGATGGAGCGGGTGGCCGCGGGGTGACCGCAGGCCAGCTGTGCCCTGGAGGAGGAGGGAGGTTTGTGGGCGGGATGGAAAAGTCCCAGGAGCATCATGCAGGAATGGAGTGGGACCCATCAGCATCGCTCGCGTGGGTCCCCTGTGTCCGGCGAAAACGAACTGAGCCTGGGCTGGAGCAGGGAAGGGGCTACTGCATAAAACAGGGAGGGAGAGCCAGTCATGCAAGGGAGAACCGGAGGAACCTTGCTTTGGCTAGCAAAGCAGAGGCTGGGGATGGCCATGATTGCTATCTATAAATACATCAGGATGGGAAATGGGAAGGAGAAAAGCTCTTTCAGCCAAAGGCCAATGCTGGCAATAGAACGGAGTGGTATATTAAAGTGACCACAAATAAATTTAGGCTGAAAATTAGAGCAGCCATTAGAGCATCTGTCTGAGGAGCCTTCCAGCAGGAATAGTGAGTTTTTAAGGGAGAGTTGACAAAATCTGGGGGAGAGTGCATGACTGAAGGGGGTCTGGACTCAGCAACTCTGCAAGACTCTGGTAGTCCACATCTTCCTTCCAGGCAAACCCGCTGGCCTCTGGCTGGGGAGCGTGGTGTGTGTGAGAGCATTGGGGCTGACAGGACGCGTGGCCAGGCATGGCAGTCCCTTTGGTGTTCTGGGCAGATGGGCTTCAGCTTTGGGAGTGGAGAGATGGGAATAGACCCAATTCTGCGTGTGTGTGTACGCACAAGTGCTGTTCTGCGTGCTGATGTCCTGCTGCACTGGATGCTTTGTGGGCGTGCTCTCCACCACGGGCTAGAGAAGCAGAGCCTGTGGGATGCCAAGGTGCTCATCTTTCCCAGACTAGCCCCCTTGCTCCCCCCGGCTAGGACCTCTGCAGCCTGGGTGCTGCAGAGGTACTGGAGCAACTCTTCCAGCTCCTTGGGGAATAAAAGGGCAAATTTTGGCAGTTGGGAGTGGCGGAGCAGGTACTAGATGATGGGCTGAAGGCACTGCATTGTGACTGGGCATCACCAGCTCCTGGTTTTGTAGGAAGCGTTGGGATGTGCCCTGGGAAATTTTCTCTCGAGGCAGGGGAATCCCAGCAGAGCTGGCACCAGCCAAGGGGACTTGTGTGGCTGCAGTACTGCTCCTGGGGCTGGGAGGCTGGGACCATCCCTGAGCTCGCTGTGGCCAGCGGTGTGTCCTTGGGTATGTGGGGTCCATGACCACAGCTCCCCATTCTCTCCCCTGCCCCAGCACTGCCCCTCCTGGAGCGGCTGGCTGCTAGCAGTGCTGGATGTGTAACCCCCCAGAAAGCCCTAAAATCTGTCTAATGTCCTTTATCTCCACCCCCATGGGAGCTGGGTACCCAAACGCACGTAGAGGTCGGGATTGCAGACAGCCTGTTCCATTGGGGTGCTGCCAAGCCCCTGCCACTTTCCCAGCTGCATGTCCCCAGTGCCACCAGCTTTGGCTATGTCCACAAAACGCTGCGGAAAGAGGTGGTCTGGGTGCTGCTGCTGGTATCACTGGCTGATAACCCTGGGGAAATTGCCCTCTGCTCCATCATCTCATCCCTGTCTCCGACTCCATCTCTTGCTGAGCATTGCTGGAGAGGAGAAGGCCGAAAGAAGGGTGGTGATGGCCCAGCCCTGGGGGAAGATGTCTTGTTCACCTGTAGGAAAGGAGCTCATCTCTTTTGCATTCCCTGTGCCAAGGAGCTTGGGGAAAGCCCATTGTTTTTGGGTGGGAGCCAGTTTCAAAGGTGAGTAATCCTGTCACGGGTGGCAGGGTACCCAATGTCATCTTGGCAGGGAGCTGAAGCCCAGCCAAGCTTGGGCTCAGGGGTGCAAGATGCCTTGAAGACTAATGTCATGGCAAATGGTGCTGTCAGAGCAGAGCACAGGGGCCTGGGTGCCCTTGGAGGGTGGTGATGAGCATCGGCGGTATGGGATTCCCCTGCCTCATTCCCACCTTTCTGCACTTGCTTCTCATGTGGCCCAGAGGAATGGGGCTGGTGGTGGACTGGAGCTCTTGAAAGGTATGCAGGACCTAGAAAAGGTATTGTGTGGTTTCCCCGGTGCTGAAAGAGGAAGGCAGTGAGTCTTCCTAGATGCCTTCCCCAACCTCGAAGTCCTTATTGCTGCTGCGTGCCGGCTGCTCCTCGGCACTGGGGTCTCTGCTCACAGCATCCCTCTCCCAGTGCTGTGGCCGGTGCCCGCAGTGGGATGGGCTGGTGTCACCCTTCCTGCCTTGGGCTCAGTGTCAGGGTGGTGTGGAAGCCCAGCTGAGATTCCTGCTGGTGTCTTGGTCACCGGAGGAAGACCCCAGCACAGTGGCTTTCTCTCCCCCTCAGAGAAGCGCTTCTCCCCTTGCAGAACCTCGTCTCGGGCTCCTGCACTGGCTGACCAGGAGACGTGGTGCCAATGACTCAGACGAAGATGAGGGCTTAATTATCACAGGGAGAGGGGGGAAAAGAGAGAAAAGAGAAAGAGTCTTTCATTGCAACAAGATTGATGCCACCTCCCCCAGACAGTCACGTTCTGCTGCATCACCCTCCAGCCCGGCGTCATGTGCGCCGTGCCTGGCACCGGAGGACAAATGGGGCCTGGGAAGCAGCTGCGAGGTACAGGGGGGCACAGCTTTAGTAAAAGCCTTGGTAAATAAATATCTGGAGGTATTGAGAAGGGCTTGCAGCAGCCTTTTTAGCTGCCAGGCTTTGCCCTGTCATTAAAGTTCTCCTCCACTCTGAGCTCCTTGGGGTTGGGGTAATGCGCCCAGGGCAGGAGGGTGTCTGCAAGGTATGTAGTGATGATACCATCAGCAAAACACCCATTTGAAGGTGTGGGGCTTGTCCGTACCAGCCCCTTTCCTGCCGTGCATGGAAGGACAAGCGTCGGCTGCCTCTTCTTTAGTCACCAGCTTCCCTGGCCCTAAGGCACCTTATAAATCTTTCCCTCTTTAACCCGTGCTGTGCTCGGCAGGCACTGCCGCTGCGGGGCTGCTTTGCCCTGTCTCAGTGGGATGAGCAGGGGGAGCACCAGATCAAGCTGTGGGGGGAGGCATGCGCAGGGTGACCCCCCGTACCTTCAGCACCCCAAATGCGGGCTGCAGGGCCCTACATCTCCGCCTATACCACTGTCTTACAGCCCCTGCGTCCTTGCAGGGATGGTAGGAGGAGGCAGAGGAGATCGGTCCTGCCTGATGAGGGCTGGAGATGGAGGAGGAGAGCGTGGCTGGGGCAGGATGCTGAGGGGTGTCGGGAACTCCCCTGTGGGCATGCCTGCACAGGTAGAGCCCGGTGTCCATCAAGGCTCAGCAGGTATGGCCACGTCACCCCGAGGGGCCTGGAGGGAGCATCGCCGCTGCACTGAAGCTAAAGCACCCTCCCTTTGGCCCGGGTGCCGGTGTTGAAGATAATGTCACACGTGTTTTTTCTTTCCCCTCCAGACCAATGATGCCTTAGGAGCCACCTGGAACTGGCTGTACTTCATCCCCCTCATCATCATTGGATCCTTCTTTGTCCTCAACCTTGTCCTGGGAGTGCTGTCGGGGTAAGCGAGATGCCGTCCTTCCCCTCTGGGTCACGCCCGTCGCATGTCTCTCAGCCCCAAGGTTGGCCCCTGGTACTGCTGTGCCCCCCAGGACCCCAGTAGCTGGTTCCCCCCCGTCCCCTCCACGCCTGCCTGCCCCACGGCAAGGGATCGCTCCCCAGCTCTGCTTAGTTCCTTCGCTCCCCAAGGAGCCGGTAAAGGGGCAGCCTTGAAGATGCTTTTTGGTTGTTTCACCTTTCTGAAAAGCTCATGGTTTTGGTCAGCGTCGATCTTCTGGCTGCTTGGGACGTGCTGGAGGGGAGAGACAAGGGGGGGCCTTATAGAAAGGTGCTTGAGCCGGGTGTATATTTGCTGGCTGATGGAATGTGATGTGCACGGGTTGGGATGGGTTTGGGGCACGTGTGGGAGCAATGTGGGGCACGTCTGTGCTGTGGGGGCTGTGGCTGGGAGGATGTGCCCAATGCCAATGGGGAACGAAGACTGGTGAGGGTAGGGGTGCCTGGAGGGCATGTGGAGGAGCTGGGGATGTCGGGACAATGCAACTATCCCAGTTCTGCTCTTCCCAAGGGAAAGGAGGTTTTAATCCAAGCCATTAAGCTGGGTTTGGAGAGAAAAAGGCATCTTGTCTCCATGACAATGAACTGTGGTTGCATCAGCACATCCTTCACTGCTGGCAGGGGTTGGTGCTTGGGGAGAGCATGTCCCCTCCTGCACTGGGAGGGGGATGTGGGCTCTTCTGACCTTGCTGTAGGTGGCAGCAGGGACCCCGTGCCTAGCAGCAGGTCATTTTTTTCCTAATTGCCCACTGAGGCAAAAAAACCCAAACCAACCAAACAAAAAAAGCCATCATAGCACTTGTTTGGCCAGCTGGAAAGCCCTTAGGTGCGGGGATCAATGTGGAGACTGGCCCTGGTCATCTCTGTCCCTGTCCTAGGTGTCCCTGTGAGATCAGGTGTGATGGTGCTGGTTTCAGGAGTGCTTCTGGAGCGACGGGGCTGGGCTTCAGGGACTGTTGGTGGGTTGAATTTCCCCAGCTCTCAGGCTGGGGTCTGAGTGAGTGCAGGGGTTCTGGAGACAGGCTGCTGGAAGGGAGGAAGGGCTTCATGCTGCCTTGTTGAGAGGGAGCTCTTATGGAGGACAAAGATATCCAAGCAGTGTTGGGTGGGTTTTGCATTTCTTATGCCACATCCAGCTTGGGGATTTGAGCAAAGTCCAACTGGGTGTCGGTATCAAGGAGGAGCCTTCCTACAAAAGCCCAGAGAAGGGAAGTTAGGAAGCTCGGGGCCAGGCAGCTGGAAAAGCCCCTTGTTGCAGTGTTGAATAGTTCCAACGTAGTGTGTTGTGTGGGCACTGAGGCTTTTGGTGATGGTGAGAGCAGCCTTGGGGACACAGCGAGGTAGCACTACTCTGGCCTGCAAGCCAGCCACTGGTAGGAGGACCACGGGGTGGCTGGAGAGAAGCCCGGCCCATGCCTCTGGTCCATGCTCGGTGCTTGCCTGCACCGGGACTGCGCCAGGCAGCTGTTCCCACGCCCGCCGAATTGGATGCAGTTGTCTAGGGCTCTTCCCAGGCGCCGGCTGGCATTTCGACTGTTTGTTTATCACTAATAGGGTTTGTATTGGGGAAGGATGCAAGTGGGTGGGTGGCCTAATTGGCAGTGGAGATGCTCTCGTGGCGTGCCAGATACCTAGGGAAAAGCGCGACTGCTCAGCTCCCTGGAGGGCTGAGCGAGGTTGAGCGGAGGTGGCGAGCCGACGGCAAGGCCACCGTGCTTGCCCTCTTCCCTGGCCATGGCCACAGACATCCTCTGCATCTCGGTGGATGCAGTACCTCGGCAGTGGTGAAGAATCCTCTTGGCAAAGCCGCTGCTGGAGCCGCGGAGGGGTGCAACGTGAGATGGGAGAAGGTCCTCCTGCATGCAAGCATCACGCATCCTTGACTGCAAGAAGAAGGGCTTCGTTCCTCACTTTGCTTACTTAGTTTTTATTGCTTTTAACACTTCCTGCAATCCTCTTGTGCTGGAAGGGAGCATTTGGCTCTGCTGCAGGAAGGGAAAGGTGACCTTTCCCTCCCCCAGCCTCTGAGCTGGATGAGCAGGCAGGGTCTGGCCGGATCCCCCTGCGCGCCCCGCGGCTGGGCTGAGCTAGGAGGAGAAGGTCACTTTGGGGATGAGCTCCATGGAAACACCTCCACGCAAAGGAAGCCTTTCCCCAGCCTTACGGCACTGCTTTGGGGGAAGACAGGCAGCCGTGCCCAGCTAGCTGAAATCACAGCCACTCTGTCAACTTGGGGCGCAGCGGTGAGCGGCGAGCCCTGATAGCCTGCTTGCAGAAACCCGGGCCCACGTTGCTTGCAAACTGCACCATCTGCACCAGCAAATAACGCGGCCCGCTCGGGATTTCCAGCCTTCTCCTCGAAGTTCACGCTCACGAGCTGCTGCAGAGCTGCCTCTCTGCCCTCGCTTCGTCTCAGCAGCGGTTTTCTTTGAGGAAACAATCAAACACCCAAGGCAGGTCCTGAATGCAAAGAGGCTGCAGGAGGACATTTGTATGTTTAACTTGCCACCATCAGAAGTTTGCCGGAGCCCAGATTTAGCAATCTTCTGGTTGCGATGCGCATCTCTCCCAACAGTCAGTTCCCCAACTGTTAAGCTGAGGCATGACCTCCGTGATGTAAACAGCCTGGATCCATCTGCTCCTAAGCACAAAGTATGTGGGAGAGGAAAAGAAATGATTTCCATCATACCGAGGCTCCTCGACTTTTCTCTCTAAATACTAACACGCACACATGCATTGGAATTGCATGCAACGCTATTAAGAGGAGATGGAGTCGCTCCAGGCAGGGGCTTGGGGAGGCAGTACTTCTGAGGCTTTGGCACTTATTACTGTGTCTATTAACTTTCCCCCTCTATGGGTGCAATTATGGATCAATTAATTCTAACTGAAAGCGGGAATGAAAAATAAAAAATAAAAAATTTGGCCCCGTTCCTCTTTGAGAGCAGGTATGAAGCCCAAGGAGATGTGACTGCTCAGCTTTTAAAGCTACACAAGCTACTGAAATAATCCTGGCAGAAGAGAGTCAGTGGGAGCGAGCGAGGGTGGAGCATCAGCTGAAATGCCCTGTTTTCTGCCACGTGGCAGCCGGTGGATTTGGGAGCTCGGGAAGATGCTGAGTCTCCTGTCAAGTGTTGCCTGCTGCCGTCCTGCGGCCCGAGGTTGGTGCCATCCAGCACCCTGCCGCGGTGGGGCAGGGTGCACCGACAGCTCTGCACCCCTTCCCCGGGCAGAACTGCTGTAGTGCAGGGAGGGAACCGCGTGCTGCAGCCACCTCTGCTGTGGGGTGGATGGGACCTCCTTCCCCCCCTGCGGCCGGTGGCCCATTTTGTGCAGTGCCCTCCGGCCGGCTGGCTTTGAGTCTGGGGGCTGCAAAAGTTGCACATGCACCCTACCAGATATTTGCAAAGGTCTGCTCTCCCTTCTTTGTGGAATGGGGCTTTTGTTTTTATTTTATTTTATTTTTTTTGTTGGTTTTTTGTTTTTTTTTTTTTTTTTTTTTTATTCAGTTGTATCTCCTGTAAAACAGTTTGGATCTGTGCATTCATGCTGCATCTCCAGAGCAGAAGAGAAGGGGCGAGAGCCGTGCTGGCCAGTCCCTGCTGCCAGTGGCATGCACGGTGCCATGGCAGCAGCGATGCCATCCTGGTAATGACCACAGCTCACCTTTCCCAGCCGCTGCAGAGGTTCTGCCTGCCTTGCCCCTCCTGCAAGAAGACGGTTTATGTCTAGCTTGTCGCTGGGAGCAAGAAGATGAAAGAGTGAAGATAAAAAATAAGCCATGCTTGAGGACTCATGCGGAGTTTCTGATACCAGACAGGCTGTGTTTTGATTCTTTTCTGTCTTCTTTTCCTCAGCCTCTGCAGTAAAGCCCTCCTCCATTCCTTGCAGCATCTGTCCTCCTGTTGATGTAAACCTGTCACCCTGGTGAACTCCTTTCCCCTACCCAGTCTCATACTTCCAGGCCCTTTCCAGGGTGACAGAGCTGCTGTAATCACTCGTATTCATGGTCCACAGCAATAGCTGAGGGGGTGCAGAGTGGAAGGAGATGCTGCCTGACCTGGGAAGCCTGGGTCCTCGGGTCTGCCAAGGAGAAGACCTCTGGAAGCTGATGGCAGAGCAAGAAGATGAGCACGATGGCAAGAAAAATGAAATCCATCTGCCTTGTACCAAACAGAGTAATTTAAATCCTCCTAATTGCTTCCACTCATCCTGGTGATGTTAAGTCTTTTCTCCCTTTAAGTCTTTTCTGCCCCCCACCCCCAGCTCTTGCACTAAGTCTTTGAAAGAAACGACTAATGTTATAATTAAAGAATCAATTTGGCAAGATTTCTTTGTCTTAAGATCTTCTTTCTTTCAGGTTGGGTTAGCGATGCATTCCCAGTCTCCGGAGAGTTCTCTTCAGCTCCTTCAGGAGCCTTCTGTACCATCTCTGAAATCTTTTCACTTCACTTAATTTGAATTTTTTTCCCATCCAATTTTGAGGCATAACAAACGATGAATAAAATTAAGTTTTATAGCAATTAATAAAAAGGGCGTTGAAGGAACAAGTGTACATTTTCAATGGAGGCAGGGGTTTTTTTTGCCGGCTTTACACAAAACCTGGGCCCTGTGTGTTTGAGCTGGATCAGGTGGTTTGAAGCCAAAAATTCTGGAAAGAGGATTAATGTCTCGGCGGTAGGCGGTTTGTGAAGGGGAAAGCGGGGAGACACGTCGCCACAATGCAGGAAGGCTTGCGGGGAGATTGTGAGGGATAACAAGATGCCAACAAACATGCTGAGAAACATTGCATCAGAAGCGTAAAAGCTTGGAAGCATCATTGGGTTTGTAGTTTTTTTGTGTTTTTTGTTTTTTTTTTTTTTTTTTTTTCTTTAACAGTTGTAGCATCTCAAAGAGTGTTTTGGATGAGATGTAAAATGGCTGCGCCTGTTGTGTGTTTGGGGATGC